CCAACAGTCAAAATTCGAAGAAGGAAACAGCGCAACTTGAGTTGCTCAATCACTGATTAATTTGATTATTGATTTGATTGTTCTGGGACTAACAGTCAAGATAAAAAACAAACAAAAACAATGCACCTTAACTAGGTCGCTGGACCACTGTTTTCGTTAATAATGGGTTACATTGTTCTGGTTTTAACATTCAAGGCTCGGACTGTCTACCTTGATCGTGGATCAGTTAATAAACTATATTTTTTTATAGATTATTAGTTGAAAATCAAGGAAGACTTTTTAAACTGTGTAAGTACACTAGTTGACAGGATCGGGGTTCATGTTATAGATAATATTTGTTTGTTTGCTTGCTGAATTGCACGAGGGTTATCTGCTCTAGCCGTCACTAATTTCAAAGTGACAGGCAAGTAGTCAACACCACCCACCGCTATCTCTTTGGCTACGCTTTATTAACGAATAGTGGAATTAACCGTAACTTGATAATGTCCTCACGGCTGAAATAGCAAACGCGTTTGACGCCGGGATTCGAACCCGCGATCCACAGGTTGCGAGTCGAGCGCTCTAACCAGCAGGCGTGTTATAGACACATTTTGTTTTGAGTAAATATTCTTATAATAAATTATAATGTTGACTTTCATAAACGGGGAAATTCAGCAGGTAATTATCATAGATGTTAACGTATTTCCTTTACTTAAAGCAATGTTTTCATCAGTTGTTCCAGAGTCTTACATGATTAATACATCAGAAGATCACGGATTTACACAGGAAGACTCTCCGCATATAAAATATGCGATAATAAAATAATATAAAATAGTAAATTTGGAAATATTTTTGATGTTGTATAATTTATTGTTAAATAAAAATCGGAAGCACACTACGTTAGGTTATAAATCAAGGTATTTAAACAATGTATTTTCTGTACCCAAAAAAGTTTTCGAGAAATTAATAATATTCCTTAGAAGTATGTATCTAAATGCACTATAGATGGCAGCACAGCGCTGTCGGCAGACGACTATTGTTTGAGTAAAGTTCTTCACGTACTATGTCAACGAAGTCAACTTATAAACAAGACCTTTCAGTTTCACAGTATGTTTTTTTTTAAAAATAGTTTTGAAGAATTGGCCTCGAATATTTATATTTTTAACCTACTTTTCATATAATTATTGGAAAAGTTTGTGCAGGTTTTAATTTTATTTTTAAAATCTACAGTACTGAATTGGCCCGGCATGGCCAGGTGGTTAGGATGCCGGACTCGCAATCTGCGGGTCGCAGGTTTGAATCCCCGTTCCACCAAACAAGCTCGCCCTTTCAGCCGTGAGGGCATTATAATGTGACGGTCAATCCCACTATTCGTTGGTAAAAGAGTAGCCCAAGAGTTGGCGGTGGGTGGTGATAACTATCTGCTTTCCCTCTAGTCTTACACTGATAAATTAGGGACGGCTAGCGCAGATAGCCCTCGTGTAGGTCTTTTTCAGATTATTCTTACTAATACTAGTAGATTGGCGCTTAACATAACGGGTTTATTAGTTCTTTTAAATAACATATTTTGAATTATTCTTAGCTTCGTTGAATCATCTACACTGCTACTGGCCATAATGAATACAAGTGATAAAAATCATTTTGTAAATGTAAAATATATGGATGATGTAGCCATAATTAGATCAGTACTATATTACTTGCTCTATCAAAATTTACGGTTACACTGTAAAATACACGAGTATAAAATGTTTTTCATGCTTTGACTCAATTTGGTTTTCATTGTGCGTAAGTCTTAGGATCTTAGTTACACTACATTGATGCCTACACTGACGTGACCATAATATTATTAAAAACAAGCTGGATTCTAACAGTGAGGAATAGATAATTTCCAACTGCAGTAATATCAAATTCAAGTGTGTTTGTTTGTTTGTTTTTTGAATTTCGCGCAAAATTTAGTTGTAAGTGCTACTAAAATGATTTTCATTAGGAATAACATACAAGTACTAACATGGTCAGTATGATTAGTTGTGACATAAACGTTTATTGAACTCCATGTGGTTATTAGTTACGCATGACGTTATAATTATTGGAGTCTTACTAATATTATAAAATATTAGTTGGGTCAGCATTAGCAAAGTTAAACTTTAAGAAGGTCAGTGTGATCAGTAATGGTAAGTTTCGTCAGTGGTGACCTATCATTATTTGTAAAATCAATAATAATCTGCTAAGCAATATATAGTACTTTTGATGTTGATGATTTACTACCTAACAATGTATGATAGTTCTTACTGGTTACTACTTGTAAGATCATCTTAAAAGTTTTGTATAGATACTATAAGAAGAAAATATATAATAGTTTTGATCAGCTACTACCAGTAAGACAATCTGTAATAATGTTAACACGTTAGATCTTGTAGGATATTTGAAATTAATTTTGGCCACTTACTACCAGAAAGACAATCTGTAATATATTGAATTTTCACTAATTCACAGATTGTCTACATTAGTATTCATCTTTAACTACAAGGGAGACAATGAGTAAGTGTTTTTCTTTTCGCTACTCATAAGAACATATAAATTATTGGGGATTTCTTAGCTACAGGGTTTGGATTTCTAATCATCTGAACTTATCAGTTCTTGTAAAAATCTAAAAATTAGTTTTAAACATTGATTACGAGGAAGGAAATAATAGGTACTTACCAAATATTTGTATGAATAGTTCCTGGTCAAATATCTGAAGTGCCCGATTAATAAGCGTTAATCACAATTATAGCTACCGAAGTTTATAGTATACCAACTATAGCAAACCAATAATATATACTATTTTTGGTGCGGCATTGACTATATTTATAGGCATGTAGAGAGTTTCTCGAATTATAAGTTTTACGTAACAATACTGACGCTAACACACATATATTGTTGATTCTTACACTCGAAAATCTTCTACAACTTTAGCGAATAGGCGGGAGTTTTGCAATACATATTTAACAGTATAAGTTATGTACATTTCTCAATATAAATTTAATTTAACAAACATCGACATTAAAATAAATATATAATATTTAATCCGTCACATGTGAACTAACAATAGATATAGCTTTATTACAATCCGCTTTATGGAAAGAAAAGTTTAATAATCTTTACTCTGAAAACTTATTATATTTTCTCAGCAGGCCTTCAGAAAAAATTTTAAATTTTATTTTTTCTCCTCATAGTATATCGACTTTTTCATTAACTACATTCATTAGTTCTACAAATGTAAAACTCAAGACTTGTAAATATATATTTAATTAATATGATACTAAAGTTATCTATACATGCTAGATAAATCCTTTGGGATTAATCTTAACTGTGAAATAATCGACACTTAATGAATGTTACAAGTTTAATACAAAGTACTGATAACAAAATAACAGTTAAAGATCTAAAGAAATTATCCACAACAAACTCTTATACTTAATATGGTGTAAAATATCACTTTCGTTTTTACATGTAATACTTCAGCAAAAGAATCTAAAAATTAACATATTTTATTAAATTCCTATATACATATATGGAGGTTATCAATAATTTCTCTAATGATATAAATTCCAGAAAATGAATCAAAACGTGTCATTCGGCACCTAATTGTATTTGTGTTTTTCTGTACGTAGTTTACCACTGATAACTAAATTTAGTAACAGCGTGACCTTGTTTAAACAAAGTGTCTCAACTACTAGACCCAAAGTAAAGTGTCCTTCGCAGAATCATATATAAGCTGTGAGATTAGCGGCGAGTCTGAGTTTCAGATTATTCATCGTCTAGTACAAAACGGTGTAGTAAGTATACGCTTGTCTATTCGTGGAAATTTTTCTGATTCTAAAACCAGAGTTTAGTTCAGATTGGAATGGAACCTAAAAGTACTTGTTTTAATCAAAGATTGTACGAAAGGCTTATATTCTTGAGACTTTATAAGTGATATAAGAAATTATATGTTTTACTTTGGCAGTTTGTAATATTTAGAACTTCGGATAATTGAACCTAATTTGAATTTTTAAACATTTTATAAAATCTTAATATCTAACGAACATCAGAGACATGACCGAAAAATCATGACTTTATTACAAACCAATAGTAAAGCATATATATATATTTACTGACATACCTTCTTTAATCTTTATC